TTTAAAAAAAAAAAAAAAAAAAGAAGCACAAGTGCAGTTGAATTATTCGCCCTGAACATGTCTTTTTTTGGTAATCAACCTTATTTATATTTTTGCATATAGAGTTTTCCATACTTCCTAATTCGTCTGTGATAGATTAAGAACTGCCTATTTAACTCTCACCAACTTCCTAACGCTCTAGTGTCGAGAAGTCACCTTAATCCTTTCGCCACTTCATAACGATGCTTCCGAGTCATCAGATAGTGTAATGGTTGACACGCATCTTCCAAATTGCAACTCTAAAAAATCTGGGGGTGCGGGGAGGATTCAGATCCATGCTACCGCGCAGTTCCTCTACTCGCATTTTTCTACTTTTTTCTGTAGCCTACCCAACAGTTACATAATCACAGTGTTTCAGTTGCGTGCCCAGAAACGGAACTCAACGCGTGCCACTAGTAGGTCTATATTCCAGAAGTTTCTAAATTTGCTTTCATTGTTTTATAGTCTCTTCAACTGTTGCCTAATGTAATAAAGTCATGTCTTGAGAAGAAACTTTCAACAAAAATGCGCGGAGATGACTACCGGTTATGAAAGATGTAATATAGTTAAAGCGAGGTAATAGAAAACATGAAATGGTTAAAGCACAAATATAGGACAAAGTGTACTATAAGGATTCCACAGAAGAGGGTTTTGTTTCATTTCTGTCACACTGAGAAGCAGCTGGACAAAAATGGCAAAATCAAATATACACAACTAAAAGGTTGTAATCAGATAGGCATTTTTGAGCAGACCAGAAACTTGTCATGGAATGCCGGAATCGTAATTCGAGGAACTTGCACGGAAGGGTTGATTCAAGTGCCTTATAGATTCTTATAATAGCGGGTTCGAGAAGTACACGCCAACCATTACACCGGAAAATGACAATGGAAGCGCGTTATGAAGTGCCAAAAGGATTAGTGCGCTATTTTAGTGCTAGACCGTTGAAAAGTTAGCAAGAACTAAGTGGACAAGTCTAAAACTTTCAAAGGTGATTCAGGTGAGGTAAAAAACTCTGTACATAAAAATGAAGTGAAGGTGGCAATGGAAAAAAAAAAGGATTTTTGTAGGCAGGTTGGCACTGTGAACTGCAACAGCGCATGAAAAAGCCTAAAAGAAGGCGAACGAAGCTTTTATGAGTGCAGTCTTGATATTAAAAAAAAAAAAAAGAAAATTGATACTTAGTTTCATGATCAATAGAAAAAACTCCTTTTTCGCCTTACAAAACTGAGGAACATAAAAGCTTGAGCAATACATAACGTTAGTAGCTATAACTTTATACAGAATTATAGTTGCCTTTTAAAATACATAAAAAGTAGCTGTGTTAGCCACAGCAACAGTTTTAAAAACAAAAATTTTAAGACTAAACTAAAGATTATTGCAAACAAGTTGAAAATAATAGTGCTTGTGAATAAAAACAATAATCAATTGTAGCAAAAATGGTGTTATTGCAGATGTATGACTAAATGCAGAAGAATGAAGCCTCACCGTTTTTGCTTATGCATTTTGCTGCCTTCTCAGCCAAACTTCGATAGATGCTGTCATCGTCGTTTGTCCGTGAATCGCTTGTGTGTCTGTGTGCTGATGCTGATGCTGAATGAACATAAACAAAAACCTGTTCTTCAACGAAACGTTACTACTGCTGCCAAAAGCCTTATAAACATATACAGCAAATACGTTTTCCTCGTATTATCGCTGTTGGTAAATCGCCAAAGTGGCCGACAATCATCGTTTGCAATCTTATGAAATTGATACCCAATTACTGCAAATAGTTATCCGCAACAGTTTCCAAGATCGCTGATTATTGTCATATTTGCAAAGATAGTTGACGCCGTTCTTTACGCCAGCGCTCGGAGCTACAAGCATTGCTGCGCTGCTTGCTGTGTTCTCAGAGCTCTGTTCGTCGATCAGCTGATTTACAGCAATGAAGACAGCTGAGAAAGCTTTTTTTTTCTGCACTTTCCGAGACAATATTTCTACAAATTTCGTTGAATAAACTGTTTGATTTTAAATTTTTATTATCAGCCTAAAATTACCCAAAATCATAGCACTTAGTTGAACTATAATTTGATGCGTCAAAATGGTTAGCAGTCTACAAAACTTAAAAAGTTATCTCAGTTGCAACATTCGTTGTCTTTTTTCGAGAAAC